ATTGATGTTTGAAATTACTTAGAGGAAATTATACGGGAGCGTAAGCGTCCAGTGTTCAAAAATGAAATTTTCCATTTCCATTATTCCTGAGAGGAATACCGAAATATTAATATTTGTCATTAATGGCCATTGTAGTCAGAATGAAAATAGACCAGGATGAAGAAAGTAGTGCGCGTTTAGTTCAGGTGATATAGCAGGAAAACATTCTGTGCTCTCTGAATTGGGTTTCGTTCCTCTTTCTGTCTCTCTCCTCTTCCTGAAGAAGTGTCTTGGTGAGAATGTGGGTAAGAAGTTTAAACCTCCAACTAACATCGACTTACATGAGAAACACGTTCAGGGTGTCGGACCCTCAAACTGTGGCAGGTACCAGGTTTTTGTTCTGAACCGGTTCGTCTTCAGCCGTAAACCTGAAGAAGTGGATCTTTAATCAGAGGCAGTGTGACGTCACCACTTCAGGGTCTAAAGAGAGACGCAGTGAGACGCCGATGACGCAACGCTGTGTCTCTGCGATTGGACAAGAGACACCAGCTGACCAGAACAGCTGATTCCATCATCAACAGCACCAAACAGCGGCAGCTCAGAGGAGTGATGAGAAATAAACCACAGGCATCATGGAGACATCGTCTCACAGAGTGAACGCACACTAAAGCTTCAACACGTTGGAATCAAACTGCATCAGAATCACTTCCTCGGTCCTCTGAGGGACAAAAGTGATGCAAACCTCTTGGATCTTCAGATGAATCTCAAACTCACGGCTCCATTTTGAAACAAGACGACAATTTAGACTGAAGATTCTACTCAACTTTATTGTTGTTGCACAAAGTACAAATACTGAGATGATGAAGTGCAGTTTAAACAGGAGAGCAGAGTGAAGCACATATAACATTGTGTAATATAATAATGTACATATAACATTGTGTAATAGAATAATTCACATATAACATTGTGTAATAGAATAAAGCACGTATAACATTGTGTAATAGAATAAAGCACATATAACATTGTGTAATAGAATAAAGCGTAGCAGGTGAACATGAACGTGTGAACATATAAACAGCAGTTGCAGAAGGCGCTGCTGCTTCACAGGAGGAAACATTCAGTCTGTATAAAGACTGAAGCATCTTTGTCCCGTTTAAAGTGAAACACAAGCGTTTCTGCACTGAAGCCTCTTAAAGCGTCTGTTGCCGTGGACAACGGCGTCATGGCGTCTGACATCAGGGACTCTGTGGTGGCTTCACGTCGTCCATCAGTCCAGTGAGACGGAGGCAGAAGGCTCTCCAACGTTTACGTAGTTCACCGAGTCGTCTCCTTCAACCACCTCATCCAGCTGCTGTAAACAACAACAACAACAACAACACAACTGTGCTGAGATGCTGAAGGACACGGAGCAGATGGGTTTGTAGGAACAAAGAGCAGCGCCAGAGGAAGCGCTGGGGTTTGTGGGGATCCTCAGTGAGAAGTGGAGAACAGATGTTACAAACACTTTACTGACGCTACGATTCTCTGATTAAACTCACCATGATTTCTTCCATCCGGGTTTCTTTCCCTGAAACACAAGAAAAGACTCCAGTTTAGTTTTGAGGGTAAAATGGAGGTTCATCAAAACCTTTTGGCTTCATATGTGAATGTTGTCACCTTTAGTTCTTGTCCAGATGTTGACTGTAACAACACTTATTAAAAGTGCTGCTGAACCCAAACACACAACGAAGGTCCTCAACAAGGCTGAAACAGAGTGAAACACAGTCAGAGGGGTGATGATCAGTAGATGATCTCTGATAGATGATCAATAGATGATCTCTGATAGATGATCAATAGATGAATCACCTGAATGAATAAAATAGCAAAGTGAATCAAACTGTACAGTTAGAAAATAACTCAAGTATCTGACGTCACGATTAAAGAGTGATGTGAATTAAAATGA